ATCAAGTTGTCCCCGACTTATGGTAAAGTTACATACAACAGAACCAAACAATGCTGGTCATGGGTCACCTTCACAATTACCAGCATGTTCAAGTCCATCGCTGTGACCTTCATTGGCTTTCCACTTCACCAGACACTGGGTCTTCTTGTAGCAATTGCTCTCTCTTGATATGCCCAAAGGAATTGAGTCAGACAATCACATATGTTTACTATCCAAGTATTTATTTTTCAGAAATGAAAGTGGAGTTTTCACCAAGTGCATTTATCCAAGCTGCGGGATGTCACCGAGAAGAGCCACCTACATGACGTATGAAATGGTCTAATCATAGAAGGAGAGAATATTGAGATGTGGGAGTAGGTGCCCGTAACTGATTTCTTTGACGGCAACAGGAATGAGGCAATACTGGAGGTAAAGTGAAAGAAATGTGATTGAATGTACAGTTCAGTCTCAAAGTCATAGAACATTTCCAAATTAGGCTGTAGGAAAAAATATTACGCATCATTCAGATTGTAGACAGTACAGTCTAAGAAAACATGTACAGCGTTTTAAAATGAAATAAGCTATTTCTGCATTGACTTCAATGAGGTTACTATGAACCCACCAGCTGACCACAGAAACTGTATGGGGCAGTTCTACTCTGTCCTCTAGGGTCTGAGTCAGAATTAACTTGACGGCACACAATGTTAAATTTGACTTAAGGTTCTGGTAGTCCACATCTCACATCCGCAAATACTCTGATACACTTGGGATCGGCCCAATTGCCGGTGCTGACCCACCTCATCAGGATCCAGTGGTGGGCTCCTGCATGTCAGGGATGTACCAGATGCATGATTAGGCTACTGGCAGTGAGTAAGAGGGCTCAGTTACAGGGATTGCTGTCCTATGAGGAAGTCTAAGCTTGCTTCTTCACTGGCCAAATCCTCCATGAGGTTCAAGGGCAGCCCTTAGTATATTTTAGTGTCATAACTGCCAATTGTTTAGTTCCCCTATTGATTATATATATATATAATTTTTTTTTTTTTTTTCAGGGCATGGCACAAAGTGCTGATTCTACATAAATTTGTTGAATGGCTAAGAGAAGTTTATCCCTGTCCAAGCTTATTACCCCATTGTAATATTCTCAGTAAGTCTAACAGTGCTACTATTCATGTTCATCATAGTTCCCAAATTTGTTAAAATTATTTTTTTTGGCCTAGATTCTTCTCAAAGGCCACCCAGTTGCCTTGCATCCAGAATTTATGGGCCACTGTCAATTTGCATTGTTGTTCCAAATCAAATACTATATCCCATATCTTGCAATTACTCAGTGTTATTCACTGCTAATGTCTAAATCAGAGAAGTGAAAAGGACAATTGTTTAGTGCTTTTTAAAGTCCCTGACCAAGATCAGTAGGGAAATCCCATTAGCTCCATTCATCGCACTTCTCATAAATCTAAAAGAACAAGTACCCAAAGCCTTATTCTTTAATAGTTCTTATTTGTAAAACCTTGACAGGGCTTTATTCCAAACTGCTTCCAAATTACACAAAGAATACTGAGAAATATGATGGGCAGTGAGTCGTGATAGTTGCCGTCATTGAATAAATAAGCAGAACAGTAAAAGGGAGCTAATCTGAAAGCAAACAGAGTAGGGTGGGCTAAGAGAGGAACTGTGGAATTCTTGAAGTACCATCTGGCTCCAGCCGCTTCAAGTGGCCAAGCTCAAGTGTCTTTTTTATTCAGTGCCCGAAAACTTAATTCACAAGCAGCAGCATTTGAATATTAATATTTCCATATAATAAAGAAACCCTTTTTGTAACCTAAAAGGAATGTTTAACAAAATAATGGGTAGTCCCTGGGCTACCCACGAAGGCACGGGGAGCGAGCTGTGGCTGCGAGGTGGCTGGAGGAGTGGCGCGGCCACTCGGCTGCTTTTGGGCCTGCACCTCTGCGAGGCTCTTTGTGGTTACAGCAACTTACAAAAGTTGTCATTATGGTTTGAAATTTAGGCAAGAAGTGTAAAAATAAGTAATGCACCGGGAAAAGGGAAAAACGAATTCGGTGACTGCTAGTACCTCAGTTCATTTAAAAGGAATGATCAGGTAGACCAGCCATATGGGATAATTGAGGCAAGTAATGTAACAGAAATGGATCATCTCCTGTTGAAATTAGACTTTTGTGAAATTTCAAACTATTCCATCACTTTATAGCAGACCCCTGACAACTGCTGTTTTGTTTATTAAGCTGGTTTTTTTTTTTTTTTTTTTAAATGAAACTGTGAGAGGCTTTATTTTGTTTCCCTGAAAAGGTGTTTGCAAAGCATTAAGTTGAATAAAATATGAACCCACGACGTATCCTCAGCAACGATGCTAAAAAAGAGGTATTGGAACATTTTCTGTGGTTTCAAAGACAAAACCCAGTCCTGCTGGCTTTGTGTCCTCCTCTGCCAGACGCAGTGCCTTCTGTCTGCTTTAGGGCGTGGCAGCTGCCACTGGGGAGGAGAAGCTGGCATGTGTGGCCTTTCACAGCAGGCTGATTGCATTGTGCTCTGGGCCTCTCATTGCAGAGTCTCTTGGTTCCAATCTTCTAGTTGACTTGCTGGAGCAAACGGAATTAAAAGAGGTTTAGCGTCACACACCTAAATTCCTTCAAAAAATTGTCTACATGAAAAATCATTTTCACGAAAAGGGTCAGAGCTGAACTTGGTAACTCATTTTTGCTTTTACGATTAGTTGTGAAAATAAGCCGCAAAATATGGCTGCACTTGTATGAGTTGACTTTGATATATTTCATCAATTGGAAAAAATGCAATGTTATGATTATATTTATATATTCAGTTTGATGATAAATGTCTCACAGCGTCAATCTGCAACTCATTTTAGAATATATGAATATACACACAGAGGAAAGAGACATGTAGCTATCAGTTGCATATCAAGAACTTAAAACATTCGACTGGTGTGGTGTATTGTATGTAATTAGTACGTATTTGAATACATAGGAGGAGAAAATCCACGAGAAATCCCACGAAGGCACACTGACAAAGACATAGTATTCTCTTGGCAAAACTTCTCAGTGATTTGGCATGAACTCATCTTCCAGTTGTTATGCTCTCTTTACACGTGACAACATAACCCTGGTTTCCCAGTTGTTTGCAGAGAACTGCAATTTGTAGTTTCTGTAGTGGATAATGACCCTTCGGTGTGCACCTGATCTCCCCCCAACCCACACTTAGTCCCCAGTTTTTTCCAGCCTATCCTTTTTCTACTTGTCATGTGACATATTTACTCTTGGGGAGGCAACCAAAAATCACTGCTGCCGTTGTACTAAACTAATGGACTCTACGAAAGTTGGGGAATGAAATGATTTTGTAAAACTACACTCTAACAAAATCATACAGATTATTTCAGCCAGCTTGACCTCTTGACAGCTCTGGTCTCAAACGCTTCCTCCCGTGAAAACAGAACGCACAGGAGTAAAAGGGAACCCCTGCTACCGAAGATCTTTAAAATATTATAGTGTTAAATTAACCATAAGGCATTTAAACATTATAAAGGGATCAAAGATACTTTTTTTTTTTAAAGAACAAAGAATGAAAGATTTCTACTTTAGGATTTGATTTGACCTTTTTATATTCTTGATCTTGCAATTATATTTCTTAAAGAGAATGTCTGTTCATTTTCGTTTTGTTTCAGATTACTTAAAAAACGAACTCCTATCAGAAGGGTTAACTGTTCGTATTAACCTGTGAAATATGACGAAACTTGCCACGTAGATGTATGAAGATACGAGCTAAAACCTGAGCTGTTCCTACCATGGCACTAAGAGTTAAATCGTCATCTTAAAGTTGTTCAGAGCACAACCCACCACTTTCGACGTCTTTGAGGATTTTCCCTTTAAGGAGAGGACATACACGTGCGCTGCAAGAAAAATGCTCCTTTGGGTAGTTTCCATTGATAAGGCCACATTGCAAACGTAAGGTGCCTTGAAAACTAGCTACATGAACACCATCTTTGGGGCAGGCGCCGTCCGCCATAAGCATTTACTGTGTACCTGCTGTGTACAGGGCACAGCGCTCCTGGAATTCACCACAAACCTCTGCCAATTTTGCAGTTCGAAGAAGTTGTGGGAATGACACGGAGGGACCGCAATCAAGGCGGAGAGGCTAACATTCTGAGCAATTACGTAACTCCAGGGAGACAACAGCGCTTGTGCACAGAGCGCCCGAGTCCTTTGCTGTGTCCCTCGGCTGCTCGTAACTTTGTTCCCAAGCCCTGTGCTCCCTTTTGTCCGCTCGTCAGACTCGCTTTCCATCTTTGCATCGTGCCTTTTGGACGGGAAAACAAACACGCGGACGCCCGGCTGGCTCGGGGAGCGAGGCCCGGGGAGCGGGCAGGC